AAAAAAAGCATTTTTTGGGTTATTGCCACGTCAGCAGGTTTACATGTCAGCAAAAAATCTTTGGTGGCAACAACTGGTGTCCATGTCAGCTAAAACTAACGGTCTCATTATTTAACACAGTCAAAGGTATACATGGTTGAAATTAAACAACTTTAATGGCCAAATTAATGTGAAAATACGGTAGGGGCTAAATTGATATATTGGTCTAGAACGGGGCAACTCTGACCCTTAAGCCTATTTTTATTATATTATTGATAATAGAAGTAATGGATTGTTTATATTTCTAAATTCTAATTCTATTTTTCATGTTTCTTGTATATAAATAATGGGTAATTTTATAGGTTAATTTGTTGTTTCGTAGTTTTAAGATTTCAATAAACATTTATTTCTTTTGTAATATCCAATTGTTTGTTATATAAAATAGAATTTAGAGAGTCGGAAGAACCGGACGACGTCATAATTATTTAAAAAATTAAATAAAAATACTAAAAATATTTAATAAAAAATAATTTTTTATATCACAAGTCATATTCAAAGCAAGTCATAACATATATATAAGTTAAAAACCATAAAATCAAGTGAAACAAAATGATTCAAATTAACTACAACATAATATTTAAGGTAAAACATATTAAATAATAAATATAATTATATAACTATAATTAAAAAATAAATTTGGGGTTAAAAAAATCATAACAAAATGATATTGTTTGGTTTAATTTTTTTTTTAAACAATATCACATGGCTAAGAAACATAGAAGATCATTCCAAAAGTCTAAAGAGTAAAAATATGAGAACAAAACAATCTCACATTGCTAAGAAACATAGAAGCGCATCACAACTAACTTCTATAAATAATAGAGGTAATTTGGCATTCAAAATCATGGAGCCTTTTGGTGAGCATTGAGTGAACTATTCTTTCACTTCAATCAAGCTCGAATTTTAGGCTTCAATCGAGCTTCTAAATTTTTTTTTGAGTTCAAGCATTTTTTAGTTCAAGTTTCAATATTATATTTCGAGTTTGAGTTGAACTTGATAATTTTTAGCTTGTGAGTTTGAGTTGAGTTGAGCTTACTTTTAAAGTTTTCAAGTTCGAGTCGAGCTCGGCAATACTCGAGTTCGACTTGGCTCGTTTAACAAACGACGTTGTTTGGTTTAATTTTTTTATAAAAAAAAAACAAAAAATCCCGATTTTCCCGGTTTTTTCCGGTTTTCAGCCGGTCCGGTTCGAACGGTTCAACGGTTCTGGCCGGTTCACTAATAGCGGTTCAACCGGTTTAGATTGAACCAAACTAAACAACGATTCTCGGTTGAACCGGCCGGTCCGATCCGATTTTCAAAACAGAGATTCTTTTCTTTATGGTCTAACATTGTTGCATTGAAAACTTTGTAGAGCTCCTGCTCTACGTTGAACTCAATTTTTAAAAATTATGTTCACGTATTAATAGAAGTTTATGTGTTAGAAAGCTCTTCAAAAAGCATTAAAGGTGATTTTTTATAATTGTAATTATTATATTTTATAATAAATTGTGCAAACATAAAAAAAGTTTACAACCGCGATACTCGTACTGACCGCGATAACATCCGTTACATTCGTAACTGTGATAAATCAATACGATAGAAAACACAACCGCAACCACAATTTAAATTCCTATATAGTCTTCAAGCTTTTCCTACCCAAACCATAGAATACAAGTTCATAACTAGTGTCAAGACCTATGATGATAATAGCTGTCATGTTTGTCTCTAGCAAATTATGTGGAGTCGTTAGATGTTCAATCATGAGACTATTGTCGTTTAGAGAGTTCGATATTCTGGATGAACAATATGCAATGGTGCGATTTTTGAAAGATGCCTGTAGAAGATAACTCCAAAGGTACATTAAATATATATAAAAAAATCAAATAGCTAAAATCAAAGGCGGATAATTCATAATTAATTTGTATCTAATAATTTTATTTAGTTATTTACGATGTACACACACTTTACAGATAAAACTGCTCAAATCTAAAATCTCTAAAAAGAGTAACATTGACTTTAACCACTAAATTCGATTGATGGTTCGCAAACTTATAAATTAGAATGGAATAAAGGGAACGAGTAGTCACGATTCCTGGTGGCTTGGTTTTCTATCTTTGGGGGCAAATTAATGCAATGGAAAAGTTCAAATAGCTTCCACCATGACTTCAAGTGGAATCTTCCTAAGAAAATGCCATGCCATTTCTTGTTTGACTTCGGAATTTTGCCTACTTCATCAACTACAACTAGCAAGCAAATGCAATTAGAAAATTATTTGTGTTTTTTTGCTTCCAATGTTGTTAATTTAGACTTTAGAACCATATATTATTAATTTACATGCAACTCGTGGAAGATATAACACGCAGTAAATCAATTACATCTTGGAGATGTATAACGTAACATGCCTATACAATAATTAATTAATTAATTAATCCCATGCCTCTTCATTGTTGTTTCTTCCAGGGCAGTATACATCTGAAATAGTTAGTCAATTTAATCTTGGAACTGTATAATGGAGTAAATTGAATAGAAAGAGTTACCCCATAATAAATCACTACAGTACACATCTGAAATAGTTAGTCAATAAATTGGATATCAGTTATTAATTAAAAAAGCGAGACTAGTGTATAATTGTTTTCCTCCCCCTCCGTAATATCTCTGATATATTAGTCTTAGTTGAGACAAATTCTTAAATATAAATCTAAAAAAAGTTATGAATGAAGTAAGATTAAATTCTTTATCGATCCAGATTCAATAAAAACAAAATAATATATATAAATCATCATCAAACTCTTCTCCTTTTTAATGTGAAATTACTTTGTATTTTTATCATTTCAAACCAATGCTACATTAATGTAGAAAGAACATTTTATTTTCTTTTAATTTTTTTTTCAAATATCCATGTGATCAAAATCATTTTTGCTATTCATGTTTCTCATTATTCAAATTTTCACCTTATAGTTAATTTCATTTTGGAGCTCACGGACCTTCTAATTGTCACCTTTATCCGGCCCTAATTTGTCATTTTTCTTATACTCCTTTATCAAATGAGAACACAACAATATAAGCAATCCCTTTAGGTTTCGTTCGACGTGGCATGGAAGTAGCTCCTTAATGAACACTTGAACTGCCTAGGTAGAAGTGGTATGACCGACAAAATTACAATAGTGTCTTGTTCGTGTCACTCTAAAACTAGCAAAGAATGCATCTATATACATTATTAATGTATTTATATAGTATTCTTTACAATTAAAATATATTTATATTTAGTACATTATAAATTATAATAATATTTTATAAACTATAAATGAACGTGACGATGTTTTAAATACATTTTTTTTCTTTTCTCTATTAAATGCTCAATCAACTGTTGTTGTTGTCATAGTCGCCAATATCAAAAATATAAAAGTGGCTCAATCAATTTGTCTCAACGTCGTAAACCCGAATCTAACACTTGTTTCGCCAAAAAAATAATGCAATGGCTTAGATCTGAGCCTAATTATCTCGACATTTTCTTCATTGATAACATATTTTAACCATTAGATCATATTCGATTTGAGATATGTTGATTCCTTCGGCCTCTTCCTACTACATGTATGGTAAGAAGGACCATACCTCTAATATTTTGAGTCTAATCACTTATGGAGACCTTAATTTTTAAACTAGATAAATTAAATAACAACCCTTTTAATTTTTTAATTTGAACTATTGATCAGAATTATTTGGATGCCAATGATTATCAGATCCACAATTGATCTTGTAGTGATATCAAGAGATGAAAGACGGCAGTTGGAAGATGTTGATGGATGAGCAGATGGTCGATGAATGTGATGTATCATACTGATGCCCCCAATGTGAAACATGTACATGGTCCAACCTCAACACCTCTAGCCAGTTTAAAAAAAAGGTATCGTCCGATCATTTCACCCCATTAGTTAGAGTCAAAAAGAACCATACGGTGAGGAGATGTAAGGGGGGCCGATCCGAGAGTAGTTTAAATGCTCACTGCACCCGCATGTATTGTCAATCTTAGGATTGGACATATTCTACCGGTCTCGGTCACGCCACCTCCAGACCCAGCTCCTTTATACCCACTTTGAACTAGTGTATAGTGTATACCATACTCTAGAGAACACCGAGTGCTTTTACTTTTATGTCTTTAAACAAGGTGGATCGGTTTTTCTTTTTAGGGTAAAATCTATAAATCATCCATCTACGCGCTACTTTGTTGACTCTTATGACTATTAAAATTTATAAAATGGTCATTCGATTATTGGAACATACGACTAGTCATGTGATCATTTTATAACTTTTAATAATTGAAGGACTTGACAAAGCAACATCTACAGTAGATGGATCATTTTATAACTTTAGTAGGTGAGAGACTCAATACAATATAACCCTATAGTCGGGAGTCCATTTGTGTATGTTATCATTTATTTTAATAGTATCTATTTAGAATCGGTTTTAGCTATTAATAACGTGCACACATCCTACAACACGTAATTATTTGAACTTGAAATCTTTAGAAAGATCAACACTTCTTTTTATCAATGAGTTGGGAAGTGAACTGATTCAAATATCTTAATACAAAATAAATTTAAAATATCTAAGATTTTCACCAATTAAACACTTGGACTAAGACCGGGTCTACCGAACCCTAAAAAAACGCCATTTACTCCAATTTCCATAGAAAACTCCTTCCTCAATGGGGCTGAGATGGGGTTTCTTTTCCACCCATTACACCTTTTTTTACTTATAATTAGAAGATCTAAATTTATTAAGGAATAATAGCCTCGCATGTTGCATGTCCTCATTTCTTCCTTCATGCATACGTTTTTTTTATTTATTTGCCGGTTTTAGGAGAAAAATAAGTTACAGAAACTAAAAGCTCACCCATTTTGTTACTTTTTACTGCAAGTAAAAAATAGTATATAATCTGTTGGTGGAGGAATGCTCCTCACCTTCTCTTTTTTCAGTTTCAAACATACACAAACCGTCTTTGCTCGCCGGCAATGGAGAAACACAGGTGTAAGTTATGTTTCAAAAGCTTTGCAAATGGAAGAGCTTTGGGTGGTCATATGAGGTCTCACATGTTGAATCTTCCCCTTCCTCCCACAGTTGTAGAGCAAGAACGATCGACGAATCAACTCAGTAAAGACTTGGAGTCGGGTTCTTATTTGTCGTCGCCTTCATCAGAAGGGGAAGAGAATCCAAAGACAAGTGTTCGCTTGGTAGATCCTGAGTTCGTTGATGCTGGCTCCGTTGTTCTTCAAGACAGAGAAAGCGAGACCGAGTCGTCTAAGAACTCAACTCGGAGACGATCTAAACAGACTCGGAGGATACTAGCAAATCAGCAACAAGAAGAAAGAAAGAGGATTAAAGTTAACAACAACGACAAGAAGGACAACAGGCTAAGTAGGACCGAGTCTTGGGCTGATCCAGAACCGGTGAGTTCGATCTCCGACACAACAACTGAAGATGTCGCTTTCTGTCTTATGATGCTCTCGAGGGACAAATGGAAAAGCAAAGTAGTAAATCGAGATGATGATGACGATAAAGAAACAGAAATTTACTTCAAATCAAGCAAGGTTAATAGAACAAGTCGAGGTAAATACTGGTGCGAAACGTGCAACAAAGCTTTTAAAACGTACCAAGCACTGGGTGGACACAGAGCGAGTCACAAAAAGATGAAAGCTTACCCGCCGCCGGCAACTCATGAAACAGAAAATATGGGCACCACCGCTACTAGTTCACTGACAGACCAGAAAATCCACGAATGTCCTGTCTGTTTTAGAGTCTTCTCATCGGGTCAAGCCCTTGGTGGACATAAAAGATCTCATGTAATAACTGGTAAAGCAGCAGCCCCTGTTCCAAGTTCCAAAAAATTAGGAGACACTTTCATAGATCTCAATCTCCCTGCTCCGACCGATGACGATGATGCCAGCCAAATTGAACTTTCCGCCGTGTCCGATGCTGAATTTGTGAACCACATGCAAAGGTAAAACTTTTGAACTATTTTCGGCATCTAAGAATTTTGCTCCATAGTTAAAATTCAGGCTTTGTTAAAGCCTTTTTCCTGCTATTCATAACTGTAATTCTTTTGTCTGGATTGTCTTCGAAAGACCAAGTTTTTAGAGTTAATTTTCTCGGTCACTATTGGATTACATATTCTGGGATTTTAATGAAGAACAGCAGAGCATTATTGTTGATGGATTCCTGGTTTTTCTGCTTTGTGTTTCCTTATTTGAACAGCTTTTTCATTTTGGTGCCTGTTTTTCTTTCCTCCTATGTTTTCTGTTTCATGCTTGACCTACAAATCTGGTAGGCCAGTACATTTGGCATATAGATAATATTCGATAGCCTTGAAGTTGAATCTGATTTACCATAAATAAAAGACAAGAAAGAAAAGCAAAGTCCCCTGTTTGTAAGAAAATAAACTTGGGGTCACACTGATTAATTTTGTAACATATGCAATGAATTCCAAGGCAGTTAGAAGGTAGAAGAGCATTTTCTTTTCTTTTCTTTTACTTGGGGGAGAAGAGAACAAATTTGGAGGTGGTTAGATAGGTTAAGCCCCATTAAGAAGCGACTGAGATTTAAGAGAGTAGGGCAGGACCGCCGTTACAATGTGCTGTCTTTCAGGCAGGGACTGCTCTCACTACGGCTAGTTTAGTTGAGCTGAGAGTTTGAGTATTATTGACTTCGATTCGACTAAAAAAAGTTTAAAATTAAGTTCGACTCAAAAGCTCACAAATTAAAAATTGTCAAGTTTAACTTAAACTCAAAATAAAAAAAATGAAACTCGATTAGAACTCGAAATATTTTCAGATTTAACTCGATTGAAACTCGAACATGAACCTTAAAGTACAAAAAAATCTTATATTATATTTTTTGAGTCAAATATCAAGTAATTCGTTTCAACTTATTAAGAATTTAAATCGGATCTATTCAAATCGAGTACAAGTACAACTAGGGATGGAAAACGGACGGGTCGGGTGCGGATACCCCTCTCCCATCCCCATACCCACCTAATATTTTTCAATCCACCACCCGCCCACCACCCATGATGGGTAAAAATTTTCAAATCCACACCCGCCCACGCTGGTACATTCACAAATCCATCTCCACACCTACCACCCACTACCGCAACAACAATGATTCTTTGAACTCAACTATTCCATCAAAATCATGAGAAAATATCATCGAATTTAACCAAAACAAAAGCTGAGAACATATGATTTAAGACCTTCTAAAATAGCAGCTCTTTAATGCATTTACTTATCATAAATAAATGTGCAAGATATGGGTAGAACATTCATTTACTCCTCTATTTATATGTTAATAGTAAGAAAAGAAGTAAATTTGGTTGTGAGTCACAACCGTAAATACAATTGAATTATTTATAAATTACAGAATACATGATTAAAAATACCCAACTATTATCTCATTCAAGTGTTCCCAGAAGAAGAAGAAAAATTAAGGTTCAGGTGTGATAGGCAAACTAAACTAAGTGGAAATACTTAATGTTCTTACTGCATTCGCTACTTGTTTTCCAGTATGTTGGCTCTCGTCCAGAAGAAGTACCATAATTTAGATAGTAAACGATTTAAAACGCCAGTCTACAATGATGGATTTCTTTGAACTGGAAACAAGTCAGGATGCGACTCCCATGCTTTCTTTCTATAAACCGCTTTAATCTAAATTCCAAATCAAAATTCATAAAAGAAGTTAATCAATTTAGAAATTCATAAAGGAAAAGATAAAAGATTAAGGAAATTTATTAGACTAGCTGATTGAAAGAAAGCAATCAAGGCCACAACCTCCAAAAAGGAAAACATACCTAAGCTGGAGAGTGGAGATCAGAGGTTTGAAACTTGAAAGATCGACGCAATAATGACTAATAAGAGGTTTGAAAGGGAAAAAAATTATGCATAAACTTAACTTATCCCTAATATTTGGTTAAATAACAACTTATATCTATACAATATTCGGATTTATAAATTAGTCTCTAAAACTACACCTAAATTCATAATGGTCTAAAATTTAATGGATATTTAGCTGGGCGGGCGGATGTGGGGCGGGTGGATGCGGGGCGGGTAAGGTCTCAAACTCATTACCCGCTCATTACCCGCGACGGATACTACTTTCTAAATCTACACCCGCCCACTACCAACTAAAATTATACACATCCCCGCCCTAATTGGAGCGGGTACGGGGAGGAATCCACGAATTTGTACCCGTTTGCCATCCCTAAGTACAACTGAACTTTAACTGAATTAAACTCAAATAATTTATGATTTATATCGTCTCATTTTTAATCTTAACCGTGACAAACGTGATGAATGTATAATTTCGATTCTCTTAACTTAATCATGTTGTTCGTTTTTTATAAAGCATTCATGTGTATCGAATATATACCATTATTCGACACAACTGATCTCGAATATTTTGGCATACAAACACCAAAACTTTGCTTCATTGGCCATTGAAATGGATTGATTTATAAACACATAATGCGTTATTATTATATTTTTTTATTAAACAGAATGCGTCATTAACACGGCTATTTTAGATGTGTTTCATGCTAATAATAAAATCTAAATAAAGACATTTTTTATTGTGGTGTGTTCATGCTGTCTAAGTTAATCTCCTATTTTACACATATATTATTGTGATTTATTTTATTTTTATTAGTAAGTTATTTTTATTTTCTTTAAGATGTTATTTATTTACGTTTCATGTGATTTTTCTCATATTACTATTGTGTCCCTCAAACACAAACGCGCGTGCACACACAAACGAAGCTAATACGATTAAAATGGTAATAAAAAAGTAATGCTCATCAAAATGGGTACCATGCTTGAAGCGATGAAAGAAAGACTTAATTTAATTGCTATAAATGACATCACTTTCAAACAATGAAAGCAAAACTAATATAAAATTCAAGACTTAATTTTTAAATTTAAGTATTTCTAAAAATCTTATTAGTTTTAAAAATAATAAAATTAAATCTTATATCTCATTTTTTATAATTTAATAATATCTAAAATCTTTAAATTTTAGAATTAATAAAATTAAATTTTAATTTATTTACTTTTTATGATTTAATTACTCTTTTTTTTTGGAATAAAGCAAAGCCATGGAAGCTAATTTAAGCTTGAGTTACAGTGGAAAGGGTGCTCATATCAGGACTGAAGACATCTTGAAGACCGACTAGGGGCGAGGAGAAGAGGGCAACATCGTGCATCAAAGGAGAAGGGAGCTTTGCAATGCCATCAGCGAGCGAGTTAGACTGGCGAGGAACCCAAGTAACTTCCGTCTCCCATGCCCGCTAGAAAATCTGGTAGATGGATCATACCAGAGAAGTGGGGCTAAGCGAGCTGTTAGGATCATTGACAAGGTTCACAATCACAGCATCAGCAAAGTCAGATTGGATCAAAAGAAGCTCGAAACCGTGACTCCAAGCGACCTCCAATCCTTGAAGGATGGCCCATAGTTCGGCTTGGAGGGGCGCTGTGATACCAACCGCTTTATGGAAGCCGATAATCCAATTGCCTACATGGTCGCGAACAACTCCACCAACAGAACCGAAGTTTGAAACTGGAGAAACTGAACCATCAATATTAAGACAGAACCAACCAGCAGGTTGTTTTTGCCATTGATTGGGAGTAAGGTTCCTTACTTTCGCATGTGACATGGGCCGAACAGTTCAGTAGAAATACTTCGCCCAGGCAATACTTTGGTTCAGGATCGAGAGGTCAGAGCAGTAACTGGAAATAAAAATAAGGTCATTCCACTTCTTCCATATCTGCTAAGCGAGGGAGGAGAAGAGAAGGTTCCAAGGGACATTGAATGTGCCACTTATCGTGTTCTGATGGACGTTGGAAAGGATCCACTTGTCCGGGTTTGAGGAATAGAAATCCATTCGACGATCGGCGGGAAGAACACAGTCCCAGAGAGAACGAGCTTGCAGGCAATCGCGAAGCACATGAATCATAGATTCCATTGGTTATCGAATCCCTTACAAGAGGGGTCGTTAGTGAAAGAGCGTTTGGAGCGTTTCAGGTTCGTCATTAACTTCTGACTGAAAGCAGTCCAGAGAAACAAGCGGATACGTTGAGGAACTTGAAGCTTCTAGAATGATTGCCAGATAGAGGATCGTTCATCCCAGCTATGTTCAGCTAGGGAAACATAAGCCGAGTTGGTAGTAAATTGATACTTCGAACCACAACTCCAATGCAAGAATCGGCCATGTCGGAACTAGAAGGAGGGCGGATACTTTGAATGAAAGGAATGATCTATGGCGGCAGTAAACAATTGAGGGCTTCCAGATTCCAATAACCATCAACTGCGGCAACTTCAGAGATAGTGATCTAAACTACGATAAATTACGTATTTAGTATCTAAACTATTAGTTTTAATTCATTTTAGTACCTAAAGTATGATTTTTTCAAAGTAATACTTAATGTTTAGTTTTTTGTTTCATTTTAGCACCCGTTAAAAATTTAACCTTAAACTTTGATTTTTTTTTGAAAGTTTAGGTGATAAAATAGACCAAAACTGATAGTTTAAGTACTAAACGAGTTAAGTTTTTAACGGCGGATATTAAATTGAAACAAAAATTAAATTTTAGGTATAATTTTTAAAAAATAAAAGCTTAAATACTTAAACATATCAAAATTTATAGTTTAAGTACTTAACGCATAATTTATCCTTTAATTTAATTAGTACCCGTGATTATGGCAAGTGCATCGGACTCAGGGGACACGGCTGACTCGCCACATGTTGCATGAATTTTAAGCATCAAATGAGATAAACCAATCGCTTATATGCTGGCTATTGGAGCTTGCCAAATGCCAATTACCTTTATTCACACGCAATTTCCTTTTTTTAAAAAGGGAATAATTTCACGATACCCTTCCAATTCCATTCCAAGTTGAGCAATTTGTTTATAGGATCAGCCGCCGTAATTACTTTGATTTTCTCCATCTAATATATTATTACCTAAAGTAAAAATCTAATTTTTTTTTAAAAAAAATGTTCTTAAGTTAGTATTTAAATTAGATACATTCCTCTAAATTGATATCTAAATAATTTTTATCCTTAAATTAATATAAAAATTTTAATTTCATCT